TCCGCCATGATATTGAAATTCTGATTTTTTTTTTTTTTTTATGATCTTATAGCACGTTTTGAACTTTCAATCATTATTGAAAATTTGTTTTAAGATAATACGATTTAAGATTACTTTCCAGTATCGAGCTCCTATTATAACACCAACAATTTGATCAAAAAATTATAAATTACCAAAGGTGTGGTGGTAGCGTAGTGGTAACACAAGGGGATTGGTTTCCTTGTGCCCGGATTCAAACTCTATTTAGTATAGAGAGTTATTTTTTAAATAAGAATATCCAAATATTGCCTCCGGTACCGAAGAGATTATGAGCCAAAGCTTCAGAACTGTCACGGTTTATAAAATGAAAAATTATTAAAAAATATAACGAATGGTATAAGTTACCCACCCAATTCACACGGCAGCATTGACGTGGAACCTACTTCAGATTTTCAATATTTTATGAGTCGTTTAAAGCTTCAATATGCTTCTAATTTCTGAGTGGCTTCCATGAAAGTGAGTGGATGTCTACGTGTTGTGTTTATCTATATATGTATGATTATATGAACATTAAGAAAGAAGAAGAAAGAAACACGAGTTTGGTTTTGTAAATTCTTGGTAAATTGTAAAGAGGTTTCCGTCGAGAGAGGTGCATACATGGATCTATGTGGAGCTCCGACGCTGCGTCTCTCATCGCCTAATTTCAAAACCTTATATTTGGTTAGTCTTACATTTATTCAATTGGTTTAAAGAGAGATTATAACCCTGTCCGAAATACTACAATTTAAGGGTTGTTCTTGGGGTTACTAACTTACTAGAGTATTTGTCACCACCACGTATGAAAGATACTAAATTTAGAAAGTTTTATAACAACAACAATTGATAAAGGGTTTAAATTTCGCAACGTTACAAACAAATTCTTACTTAGCTTGCTTTTGAGATGGTATAAACGTAAATTAAGGTAAAGKGACATAGCCTAATGTGCGTTGGACCGGAATATAATGAATAAAGGTAAGGCATGCACAAGGAATTCACAATGTGGAATTAGAAGAGAAAGGAGAAAGTCCTTTATCACCCAAACTTTTTGATGCCCGACTCTCTCCAAAGGGTCTCCAACAGGTGAGACAACTACTTCTATTAGGGTTTTTGATACCTTGAGATTCACTCTTAGCATATATATGAGCCCATTTGAATAATTTCGCAGGCTTCTGAACGGCGCAAGCAAATCATTGAAGCAGGATTACTGAACACTATCGAGTTAGTGATTACTTCTCCGCTACGCAGGTACTTATACTATACGTCTACCATTTCTTCTTGTCATGTATTTTCTGGTATACGTAGAAGCTTACAAAACTTAGATTTTAGGTTAGGGAATTGGTAGCCGTAAACATCAATATCAATGAAAATAAATGATGTCTAACAGTAGGTATATCTAACCTTCACATTTTTAACAATAATTAGTTATTTGATCTATTATATTATTCAAATCTTGAAGGTTTTTTTTTTTTTTTGCTAGTAAGGTTCCCAAGCTATAACAAACAAGTCGTTGCTAGTATTTTTCAATTTGACTGACCATTCTATTTCAGGGCAATGCAAACTTCAACTGGAATATTTAGGGGACAAGTAGATGTGAATCAATCCGACGACTTTCCAAAAGTTAACAACTCCCCTCCAATTGTAGCACTTGAGATTTGTAGAGAACGCATGGTAATAGTCATTGCTTTATCAAAAAAATATTCATTGCTTTAAGAAAATAAAAAAAAAAAACTCTAAGAAATTTGATAAGATACAATGGAACCATGCTATCTAATTCATTCTCTGAATAAGATAATATACGAAAACTATCAATTGCAATGTTATATCCAAAAAAGTTGACTAGAATCAAAGCTTTATATATTAAGATGTATTCCAATAACGAATCAAAATGAATAACTATGTGATTGTTCATTATTCGCAGGGACGATATCCGTGTGATCGTAGAGAAAGTATAAGTGCTCACCGAACTTGTTTCACAGAGATCGACTTTACAATGGTAGTTAATCTCACCAATTCATTAATTTAGAAGCTCCAAATAATTTTTCTGTTGTTGTTTGATTTATAAATTAATTTTTCATTTGGTTATAGATAGAGAATGATGAAGATGCTCTATGGCAAGCCGATGAAAGAGAAAATCTAGAAGATGTTGCTTCTAGAGGTCTTCACTTTCTTAAATGGTGACCAGAAACTTTCTTTTTGAGCCAAAAATCGTCAACCGAATCAAACTAAGCTCTAATACTTTTAAGAGTTTTTTTTTTTTTTAAATATAGTTTCTCATATGATACACATCTCAATTTTCTTATAAATGGTACAATATGTGTAGGTTATGGGAGAGGCCAGAGAAAGAAATTGCAATCGTAAGCCACGGGATATTCTTGCAACAAACACTTTGTGCACTGCATGAAAAAGTTGGCATACCTCTTGAAGATAGTTTACTTACAAGGTTACCATACTACTAAAAGATCTAAATTTGTTTCTTTCCATAGCTAATATATTGGTTTATAATGTCTATATCCTTTTGTGTAGGTTTGCCAATTGTGAACTCCGGACGATTCGAATAGAGAAGAGGTAACTAAAATTGTATTTATGGAATGAAAGGATTTTTTTTTTTTTTATATATAAATAGTGATGTTTCACCTGTTCATATACTAATGTTGACAATTTTAATTGCAGTGACATGGAAGAATATACATTAACAACTTGTATTTGTAATTGTAGAAAATACGTTACTCCACCTTCGACTTCTCTTCACACATTTGAATAGAAGGCGTGCGTGTGAAACTGTGAATCTTACTTTCTATTTTCATATGCAACGTACACAAGGTTTCGAACCAAGGAATTGTAGCTAATAAAAAGCCTAAGTATCACTCTTTTTCTGCTTAATATATTGTAATTACCAAATGGTTGGTGGTCTAGTGGTCTTGGAAGGGATGATTTACGCTTTAAACGTAGTATCTGGTCTCGGCCATTGAAGAAATTATGGATCAAAAATTCGGAACTCCAACGGTTTATCAATATATATATATTGTAATTAGTTTATTGTGTAATGTAAACAAAAATAATTATGTTTGAGTTTGTGGTTTCACCTAAAAACTCTCGATGTATAAGTAATGGAATGGTTTGGTTAGGGCTGGGCAAAAAATCCGTCACACCCGCTTCAATTCGTTATTAGTTTTGATCTGATCTGACGAATCTGAATATCCGTAAAATTTCGAACCAAAACAAATACTAAATTGAAGTATCCATAGAAAACAAAGAAAATCGCAAATATCATTTTAGAAAAATCGAATATCCGATCTGATCTGATCTGT